CCACTGTTGCCTATAATCCCAGCTACTTGGGAGCCTAAGGCAGGAGGATTACTGGAACCCAGGAGTTTCAGTTTGCAGGGAGCTATGACAACACCACTGCACTCTAGCCCAGGCAACATAATAAGACTTTGTCTCAAAAAAACCAACCAAACAAACAAACAAAAAACAAAGAGAAAAAGAAAACTTGGCAGGAATACCCCACATCTCTCAAATCCGTATTCCTCTTAAGTGTTCTAATAGAACCATCTAACACTGAATCCAACATGTGCTGTGCAGAACACTGTTTTCTTGGGACATGCCCACAATCCTCTGAGTAAGGGCTATTATTTTTAACATCCCCATCTTACAGGTAAGAGGAAAGGGAGAGGCCTAAATGTGTTATATAATTTTCCCAGGTCCCAAAGCTAGTGAAGGAGAAATTGGGGTTTAAATCCAGTGTGGCTAGCTGCTAAAAATTACATTTAAAAAATCAATCAGGCCAGGCGCAATGGCTCAGGCCTGTAATCCTAGCTCTCTGGGAGGCCGAGGCAGGCGGATTACTCCAGATCAGGAGTTCGAAACCAGCCTGAGCAAGAGTGAGACCCCGTCTCTACTATAAATAGAAATAAATTAATTGCCCAACTAATATATATAGAAAAAATTAGCCGGGCATGGTGGTACATGCCTGTAGTCCCAGCTACTTGGGAGGCTGAGGCAGAAGGATTGCTTGAGCTCAGAAGTTTAAGGTTGCTGTGAGCTAGGCTGACGCCATGGTACTCACTCTAGCCTGGGCAACAAAGTGAGACTCTGTCTCAAAAAAAAAAAAAAAAATCAATCAGTCAATCCAGTCTGGCTTTGGAGTCTGTGCTCTTAGCCACAGTGTGTACTCCCTCACCAATCGCCAAGACTTCAGGCCTACAGGTGCTGCAGTAGCCTCATGGCTCACCTTTTAACCCACCTCCACTTCTTTCTCTCATTGTAGTTGAGAGGTCTTTACAACATGCTCCTCAGAGTCAGCCCGCCCTTAACCCCACTGAGAATTTTCCAATAGCTTCCCATAGCCCTGAACCTAAAGATCAAAAAGGCTACCTGTCCAAGCTCAGCTCACAGGTCCCCCTTCCTCCCTGAGCTCCAGCCACATAGTCTTGTGGCAGTCTCTGACCTGGGAGGACGGCGCCTTCTCCCCAGGGCCGATCCTTCCCTTCTCTGTTCACTTAGTTTAGTTCACCTCCTCCTTCAGATCTCATGTTTTTCTAACTTTAAAACTTTTATTGCAGGCTGTCATATATAGGGAGCTTTCCTGCTTTTCAAGTGTCATAATTGAATAGTTGGCATTTGTTTTGATTATACTTGCACGTAAGCATATTTGAAAAGCACATGAAAGAAAATTTCCTTATGTTATTTGCCCTCATTATCATTAATATTTGTTGTCTGTCCTCCCTACCAAACTATATCAGGAAGGTGGTGTCCCTGTCCACCAGTATGCTGAGCACATAATAGTGCTCAATACATTTTTATTCCATAAATGAATGGGAGATTCAATTATGAATATTTTTTGAACTCGGGATAGATAGAACTTCAAGCATTGGAATGATGACATAAAAAAGCAGGTTGGCAGTGGTGGTTCATGCCTATAATCCCAACACTTTGGGAAGCCTAGGTGGGAGGATTGTTTGAGGCCAGAAATTGAGACCACCCTGAGCAAAACTCTACAAAAACTGGAAAAATTAGCCAGGCATGCTGGCATGTGCTGTAGTCCCAGCTACTCCAGGAGCTGAGCAGAAGAAACTCTTGAGCCTAGGAGTTTGAGGTTGCAGTGAGCTATGATGAGCTACTGCACTCTAGCCAGGGCTACAGAATGAGACTCTTTCTCCAAAAAACAAACAAACAGCAAACAGCTTTTCTTTCTTTTTATTTATTTTAGAGATGAGGTTTCCTATGTTGTCTAAGCTGATATCAAACTCCTGGGCTCAAGCAATCCTTCAGTCCCAGCCTCCAGTGTAGCTGGGATTACAGGTGTGTGCCACCACACTTGCTTTAATGGATTTTCTTTTGGCTACTACGTATTTATAAGAAATTTTACACATAAAATTGCATTAGTTACTTCTCAAAAAATATAAAATCTTACAGTTATTCCTATTTTGCATTACAAGAACCAAAGCACAAATACATTGTACTTTGTCCAAAATTGCTTATAAATTATAATTCCAACAAGCCTGACAAAAAGATATTTGGTTTTTTGCATAGTTCAAGAACTCAGTAATATTATTGCTAATTATGGCCAAATATTTTACATTAAATTGTACTAATCCATTTTATGTATAGTATGTCAACTAACCTATTTGTTTTAATAGTTGGTACAATTCTTTCACCATTGTGTTCCCCAAAATGGTAGTGGACCTAAGAATTCATAAATCATAATTCCAACATACACTCCATTTACTCATATACAAATTAGTTTGTCCCTTACCCAGAACTAGATGTTTCAATGCCTCAGTTTGTACTTAATTCAGAAATCAGCAATATTACCTCCAATTACACTGAGAAAATAAAGATGATTCAATTATGTACTTTTTTTTTTGAGACAAAGTCTGGCTCTGTCTCCCCAGGTAGAGCGCAGTGGCATCAACATAGCTCACACAACCTCAAACTCCTGGGTTCAAGCAATCCTCCTGCCTCAGCTTCCCAAATAACTGAGACTCCAGCTGTATGCCATGATGCCCAGCTAATCTTTTTATTTTTAGTAGAAAGGCGGGGGGAGGAGGAATGAGTCTCACTTTTGCTCAAGCTGGTCTTAAACTCCAGAGCTTAAGCAATCCTCCCACTTAGGCCTCCCAGAATGCTAAGATTACAGGTGAGAACCACTGCACCTGGCTTCAATCATATACTTTATATATAAACCTTAACCAGTAAATCTTCATTGGTTGTTATCTAAGGGCTAGGGTAAAGAATTGATAAATCAAAGCCCTAACATGATCTCCCAGATGATCTCAATTTAACTGGTTTCTTTGCTGCATTGGGGCTGGCCCAGTCCTCAACCTGCACTTCCCTCTCTACCCCTGGGTCCTATTTACTTATGTCCTCTTTCCCTGTATTTCTAGCCTGTGATCAGGTTATCACCATCATTCTGTTTAGGGATCATCTTTTATTTATCATTTTTGGACAAGCAATGATATGTAGAAAGAAAAAAAAACAAAAGAGACTTTGTAACCTGACAAAGGAAGGTTTGAGTCCCACAATAACTGCTTCTTAACATAAGAAATTCCTTCATTTCACATCTCTGATCTCTGAGAACTTGACAAGAGGGTGATCTAAGGAGAGATTTTTCAAACCATTTTTAAGGAGAGAATCTTGAACTTGCTGGGAGACTGCAGATTAGTCTTACTGTGCTAATGGGCAAGTCATCAATTACAAACTTTTGTAATCTATAAAATGGAGAACAATACTGACTGTGAATTTTTTCTTTCAAAGACTAACAGGCCATTTTTTTTTTTTTTTTGAGTCAGGGTCTCACTCTGTTGCCTGTGCTAGAGTGCCAGGGCTTCAGCCTAGCTCACAGTAACCTCAAACTCCTGGGCTCAAGTGACCCTCCTGCCTCAGCCTCCCAAGTAGGTGGGACTACAGGCATGCGCCACCATGCCCGGCTAATTTTTTTTCTATATATTTTTAGTTGGCCAATTAATTTCTTTCTATTTTTAGTAAAGAGGGGGCTGGCTCTTGCTCAGGTTGGTTTCGAACTCTGACCTTGAGCGATCTGCCCACTTCAGCCTCCCAGCTGACTGTGAATTTTAACTTAGAATTTGGTATCTAACAAACACTCAATAGAATTTATTCTTTTTTTTTTTTTTTTTTTTTGAGACATCGTCTCACTCTGTTGCCCAGGCTAGAGTGCCATGGCATCAGCCTAGCTCACAGCAACCTCAAACTTTTGGGCTCAAGCGATCCTTCTGCCTCAGCCTACTGAGTAGCTGGGACTACAGGCATGCACCACCATGCCCAGCTAATTTTTTCTACATAGTTTTAGTTGGCCAATTAATTTCTTTCTATTTTTAGTAGAGACGGGGTCTTACTCTTGCTCAGGCTGGTTTCAAACTCCTGACCTTGAGCTATCTGCCCACCCGGCCTCCCAGAGTGCTAGGATTACAGGCGTGAGCCACCCGCCCGGCCGAGATAGACTTTAAAAAGTATTATTAGTTGCTCACACATGGAAAGGTGCTAGTTATTGATACAGAGAGAAAGCTAAAGTCTTAGCTGGGCGAGGTGGCTCATGCCTAAAATCCTAGTACTCTGGGAGCCTGAGGCAGGGGATTGCTTGAGGTCAGGAATTTGAGACCAGGTTTGAGGAAGAGGAGACCCCCATCTCTACTAAAAATAGAAAAATTAGCTGGGCATTGTGGCACACGCCTGTAGTCCCAGCTACTCAGGAGGCTGAGGCAGGAGGGTCGCTTGAGCCCAGGAGTTTGAGGCTGCAGTGAACTATGATGATGCCACTGCACTCTACCCAGAGCGATGAAGCAAGACTGTCTCAAAAATAAATAAATAAGTGAATAAATATTTTTAAAAAGCTAGGGTTTTAATTAATGGAGTAGCTTTCTTAAGAAATGAAATGTATTTGATACAGGAAAATGGTTTAGCTTTCTTCAAGTCATCAGTCTGGTTGCTGAATTCTATTGTTTCCACAGGTTCCATCGTTAAATCCCCTCTCACATACAATTCAGGAGTTTCTGGTAACTTGTTTCTTTCTGTAGAATTATCTAGAAGGAATTTTCAAGTTCCCAATGTCTCCAGACCCATACATACCTTGGATAACTATGTTAAACGTGTACAAAAAAAGGGCAGGGATGTTATTACTAATTCAACCACACAAAAGTCACCTGATGAATAAAAAAGTACCCAATTTTAGTAATCACAGATTGTGGGGGAGGGACCAGTAGTGGGGGAGGAAAGAAGGGGAGGAGAAAAAGAGTGCCTCAGGGAGGCAGGAAGTGGGAGGAGACTTTTCAAAGAGTAAGCAGTCTTGGGCCAGGGGCCACTTTGGAACATTTTTTTCTTTTTATTCAACCTCCACTTCTTTCCAGGTATGGAGAACGCAAGAGGCAAGGAGGTAAGTACAATTTCAGTGGGTTTGTTTTCTATCTTTGTGAGTCTCCTCTTGTTTCTCTCTTCTCTGAGCACACGCTCTTTCTTTTGGGAAGAAAAATGTGTGCCTTAGAATTTTCTCCTCGTTTTTTCTTAAAGTACAGCCCTAGACACTGGAAACGATTGCAGGCAGGTATATTGCGGTGAGGAGACAAATGAGAAATGGGTTTTCCTGTTTGATGTTGAAGAGAAGCTTTATCCTGGCAGAAAGAAGAAATTCATCGGGACTGGAGGGAAACTGTAACAAGGGAAAAGGGAAAGTGGGGGGACGATTTTAGGAAGAGGTAACTGAGCTGAAGGTGGGAAAGAACGAAACTACTTCATGCCCTTTAGACAGGCACAGATCCTAAACCAAAGATGCTGGGTCTGAACTCGTCTCCATTTCCCTGGGTCCTTAGGGCCAGGACTTATTCACCGCAACAAAGACAGAAACTGAAGGAGAGGCTTTGAGACTGGTTCCAGAGGCACTGAACTAGCACACCTGAAGGCTATCAGTGCCTTTGCTAGAATGGGATCATTTTTAGCCTTCTCAATTTTAAGACTTGTGAGGGGCAAGGGACCGTGGCTCTTGCCTGTAATCCTAGCACTCTGGGAGGCCGAGGCGGGAGCATTGCTCAAGGTCAGGAGTTCGAGACCACCCTGAGCAATAGTGACACTCCGTCTCTACTAAAAATAGAAAAAAATTAGCCAGACAACTAAAAATCTATAGAAAAAATTAGCTGGGCATGGTAATGCATGCTTGCAGTCCCAGCTTCTTGGGAGGCTGAGGCAGGATCGCTTGAGTGCAGGAGTTTGAGGTTGCTGTGAGCTAGGCTGACGCCACAGCACTCACTCTTGCCTGGGCAACAAAGCGAGACTCTGTCTCAAAAAAAAAGACTTTCCAGATCCTTGAGTGAGTAGTTTGTATAAAGGTTATGCAAATGTAAGACTGAAATACAAATGTAAAACTGCTATAGAGATGTAGAAATGCCATATATATGTTAATTTATCCAGTAATCCCACCTTCTGGGTACAGAAAAGGATTTACATTTGGGAGAAAATTGAACTAGGATTTAATTTATACCTAACGTGCTCTTAACGTCCACAATTATGTTATGTAACCTCCGAGCCTCAGCTGCGTCTGAAAAATAAATTGTCGCAAGATTACTATGAGGATTAAATGAATGTAAATAAGGAGCATGCCAAAGGCAATACCTGGTATAAAATAGTGGCTCAATACGTGTTTTTCTGTATTGAACAACTTTATCCCCACCACTCTTTCATTTCTTTTAATTCAATTAACCAGTATTTATTGAGTGCCTATGATGAAGAGGAAAATTTCTACCCTTTTAGAGCTTACAATCAAATGGATTATCAGGCATTGCTCAAATCACACAAGCAATTGTAAAATTGCAATTGACAAGTGGTAGAAATGAGGTAGTACTCAGTAGGATTGACTTGGTCTGGAAGAGACTAGGAAGGATTCCCAGGTGAAATAACTTTTGAAATGAAACTCTTTAAGTAAAATTGTTAAATGTAAGTAGAAGCGGGGTGGAGGTCTGGGGTGAAGAATGTTACTTCCAGCTGAAGTAACAACTTTGGAAAGGAAAGGAATTATGTGATGACCTTGGGCTGGAGAGCAGTGTGGAGTAAGGCTAAAATAGGCAAGAAAAGCCCGGTATGTTACAAAGAATTTTTTCAATTAATGCTAAGAGCAATAAACCACTGAAAGGATGGAAAGATTTGATAACATCCCTACCGCAACAGGGTGGGAAAATTATTTGGTAAGGGTCAAGAATGAAGGAATGGAAAAAAAGATCCTCCAGGTGAGAGATGATGGGTATGTTACATGGCTTAAAGGGTGTCTTTGTCCAAGGCAGAGCCTGTTTTCTTCTACTTCTTTTGTTTCTATCTATATCTTTCTTTTTTTTGTATTTTCAAATTGGCATTCTCCCATTCGTCCTCACTGTTTACATCTTATAAGTGAAACTAGGTACTAAGATGATGCCCAAGCCGGGCGCGGTGGCTCACGCCTGTAATCCTAGCACTCTGGGAGGCCGAGGCGGGAGGATTGCTGGAGGTCGGGAGTTCGAAACCAGCCTGAGCGAGACCCCGTCTTTACTAAAAATAGAAATAAATTTATTGGCCAACTAAAAGTACATATACAAAAAATAAGCCGGGCATGGTGGTGCATGCCTGCAGTCCCAGCTACTTGGGAGGCTGAGGCAGGAGGATCGCTTGAGCCCAGGAGTTTGAGGTTGCTGTGAGCTAGGCTGATGCCACGGCACTCACTCTAGCCTGGGCAACAAAAGTGAGACTCTGTCTCAAAAAAAAAGATGATGCCCAGAGGGGAATTCACTGGCTGGGTGTGGTGGCTCACGCCCGTCATCCTAGCTTTCTGAGAGGCTGAGGCGGGAGGATTGCTGCAGCTCTAGGGTGTGACACCAGCCCGAGCACAGTGAGACCCCGTCTCTTATCCCTAGAAACAAGAAACCAAAAAAAGACAAAAAATACACACAAACTAGAGGGGGATTTGCACTGCTGGCAGCATGCAGTGACAGGGCTTGGTGACTGATAAATGAGTTCTCTTAAGGCAGGTAGTGTATGTGGTGGTCCTGACGCCAGAGGAATGACTGACCAGCTCCTCTATCCCCAGTGGAACGCCACAGAGAAGTCCAGGGAGGAATGTGGACATTCTGAATCTAAACAAGAGCAGGCAGAAACTGGAGGCGATCAGCAGGTTGCCAATCAACAGAGCACAGTGGTACCGGGAACCTCAGTAAAGAAGGGGACCAAACGGAAAAGGTCTGCCAAGCATAACGAAGGTAAGAGGTCTACAAATCCTTAAATCTCACTTTCTGGGGCCTAAGAATGGTGAGAAATTTCCATCCTATATTCTGCAAATCCTATACTTCCATCGAAGCACAGCTTAACTTATCCTTTCCTGAAGACTTGCTTTGGTCGCCTTTGCTGTATCCTTTTCTATCTCCAAACTCCCACCACACATTTGGTTCTTTTTTTTTTGAGACAGTCTCACTCTCTTGCCTGGGCTAGAGTGCCACGGCATCAGCCTAGCTCACACCAACCTCAAACTCCTGGGCTCAAGCGATCCTCTTGCCTCAGTCTCTCCAGGGTAGCTGGTACTACAGGCATGTACCACCATGCCCAGCTAATTTTTTCTATTTTCAGTTGTTTGGCTAATTTCTATTTTTAGTAGAGAGGGGGTCCTCGCTCTTGCTTCAGCTGGTCTGGAACTAATGACCTCAAGCAATCCTCCTGCCTGGGCTTCCCAGAGTGCTAGGATTACAGGTGTGAGCCACAACGCCTGGCCTATATTTGGTTCTGGTGATCGTTTTGCCTTCACTCGATGCTTGGAGTTAGGTTCTTTCTTTTTTTTTTTTTTTTAAGACAGTCTCGCTTTGTTGCCCAGGCTAGAGTAGTGCCGTGGGGTCAGTGTACCTCATGGCAACCTCAAACTCCTGGGCTCAAGCAATCCTTCTGCCTCAGCCTCCCAAGTAGCTGGGACTACAGGTATGCACCACCATGCCCAGCTAATTTTTTTCTATATATTAGTTGGCCAATTAATTTCTTTTTTATTTATAGTAGAGACGGGGTCTTGCTCTTGCTCAGGCTGGTTTTGAACTCCTGACCTTGAGCAATCCGCCTGCCTCGGGCTCCCAGAGTGCTAGGATTACAGGCGTGAGCCACCACGCCCGGCCTGAAGTTAGGTTGTTAATGTGCAATGAAACAATGTGGAGACAGCTGTAAGTTGAAGACCCATCTTTGAAACTTCACTTCCTGTTCTAAAAATTAGTGAGGACTATACCTACCTTGATGGAGTGGGGGAAGGGTGTAATTTACATGGAATAATTAGGTAAAATACCTACACTATGCCTGACAAGTAATGTGTTCTCAGTAAACCCTAATGGCAACTAGTGGCATTACATACAGTCTGTCCTTTCTGGAAGTGTGTTCTGGAAGGCTTCACTGAATAGAGACAATGTGTGAGGTGGAGGCAGCAGGAAAAACAGAAACACAGTAGTAGAGCTAAGGAGAAACACCTGCAATGAGACTAGAATGCTGCCCTGACTGGGGTGGGCTGGTAGAATTATGGGTATTAGTAGTTGTCTGTGTAGCACCTGTAATACTAGCACTTTGGGAAGCTGAGGTAGAATTGCTTGAGATCTAGAGTTCTGATGAGACCAGCCTGAGCAGGAGTGAGACCCCTGTCTCTACAAAAAGTAGAAAAATAGAAAAATTAGCTGAGTATGGTGGTATGTGCCTGTAGTCCCATATACTCAGGAAGCTGAGGCAGGGGAATCACCTGAGCCCAGGAGTTTGAGGTTGCAGTGAGCTATGATCATGCCAGTGTACTTTACCCAGGGCAACAGAGAGGGACCCTGTCTCCAGGGGGGAAAAAAATGGAGTTTAGAGGTATTTAGTCCTAGGTTTGGGGGGGGGTTGGACTATAAGAACTAGAAGTGATTATACTTCTGAAATTCTAAAAAGCTACACAAAGTTAATACTAATTGTATTCCTTTCTTCGTCAGAGTCCTGCCCAAAGAAGGCGGCAGAATGCAATGAAGAGCCCAAACCCCGGAAGAAGATACCAATTCCTCCCTTACCTGCCACACTGCCCCCGGTGAATCTGCTTCACCGGGACATTGTACGGGCCTGGTGCCAGCAATTAAAGCTGAGCAGCAAAGGCCAGGTGAGGGCCTGGGCTGGAGACCATGCTGCTGGGATGAAGCATAGGAACCTTAGTTTCCTTATTAACTCACTTTTCTCTCATTTTAGAAATTGGAGGTATATAGACGGTTATGTGAATATGCATATCCAAATCAAAAGGTGAGTCACTTTATTTTAGGAAAATCGGCAGAGTGTAAAAGGTTCAATGTTTATCCTAGTTACCTATTCTAGCATCAAAAAGTGAGTAAAGGAACTGTCTTAGCCTCTCTTCCCCACCACCTCTAGCTCTAAGAAAGAACAATAACCCCTGTCCCCACTTTTCACCAACTCTATGCAAAGAGTAGTAAAAATGAAGTTGCATTTAAAAACATTTTTTGATTGTCAATTATGTGTATATTTATCATGTGTGGCATATAGTTTTGAAACATGTATACATTGTGGGATGGCTAAATTGAGCTAATTAACATGTATTACCTTTTTTTGCCGTGAGAGCACTTAAAATCCACTCTCAGGAATTTTCAAGAATATAGTACATTGTTATTAATGATGGTCACCATGTTGTACAATAGTTCTCTTTAACCTGCTCCACTTATCTAACTACATATCCTTGATCAATCCGACCTCAAATCCCAAAACGACACTTTTCTGGTAGCACAGTAATCTTTATTATTAACTTTTTAATTTAACCTTATTTGCAGGATATTCCTTCCACAGCCAAGGAGGCCAAGATCCGGGTATCATCCAAAAGAAAATCAAATGTAGAGAAGAAGGAAATGTCCCTGAAAAGTTCAGGGCAAAGGCTGTGTTGTGAAGGGACTGATCTTCCTGCAGTATGTCCTCCCCCTGAGGAGGGGTTGCCTGCCCTAGAGTCTGCCTCTCTCCTTGAGGGAGTTAATACAGTTGTGGTGACAACTTCTGCCCCGGAGGCTTTGTTGGCTTCCTGGGCGAGAACTGCAGCCAGGGCTGGGTCATCCGTGGAGGCAGTGGAATCTCCACAGGAGAACTGTGGTAAGCCCAATATCAAGAACTTGTTTGAGTCATTAAGAAATTGCACTTAATATTAATGTCTGCTAAATTTTAGAGTATATCTAAATCACCTCAAGGGCTGGACCCCACTCACAGAGTTTCTGATTCAGGTCTGGGACAAGGCATGAGAGTTTGCTTTTCTAACAATTTCCCAAGCAATACTAAGGATGCTGGTCTAGGGACCATACTTTGAGAGCAATTGCTATGAATTGATGGCATCAAAAGAGGGTAGTCAGCTGTTTGGCTTCATTTCTTCCCCCTTTAAGGAATTTAAAGGCAAGGTCTAAAATCAACTGCCTTGGTTTGAGCTCCAGATCTTCTGGCATCTGTTAAATGAGTGACATTAATTAGTAAGTCGATTAGCTATACCTGATGGTATGGTGCACACCTGGAGTCCCAGCTCAGGAGGCTGAGGGAGGATGGCTTGAGCCCGGGAGTTCAAGACTGCAGTTGGCTACTATTGCTCCACTGCACTCTATCCAGCCTGGGTGACAGAGCAAGACACTGTCTCAAAATAAAATGAAAAATAATATATAAAAATAAAATATTTAAAATGATCCCTATGTCACTCATAAAATGGGTCAATAATATTTATTTCATATGTTGTAAGAATTATAGGAAATACATGAAGACCATAAACTACTTAGAGTTGTGACCTGGGCGGGGCGTAGTGGCTTACGCCTGTAATCCTAGCACTCTGGGAGGCTGAGGCGGGCAGATTGCTCAAGGTCAGGAGTTCAAAACCAGCCTGAGCAAGAGCAAGACCCCATCTCTACTAAAAATAGAAAGAGGTTAATTGGCCAACTAAAAATATATAGGAAAAAAAAATTAGCTGGGCATGGTGGCGTATGCCTGTAGTCCCAGCTACTCAGGAGGCTGAGGCAGCAGGATCGCTTGAGCCCAGGAGTTTGAGGTTGCTGTGAGCTGGGCTGACCATGACACTCACTCTAGACTGGGCAACAAAGCAAGACTGTCTCAAAAAATACAGTTGTGACCCCTGAACTTACTTCATAAAGTTCTTCTCAGACTACTCTGGGTTAGTCTTTCTACCATCTGCCCACTTGCAGCTGTATCACTTCCAACAAGATTTTTTGTTTCTTTTTAAGTTTCAACAGAAACTGTCCTGCATACTTTTCTAAAGAGAACAGAAAAGAGGTTAAGATAGGGTTCCAGGGCTCACATCTTGTAGCTGGCACTTGAAAAAGAGAAGAATCAAAGGTGACAGGCCATGATGCAGTCTCAGCCTTGAGCAGGTGGTCCAGGTGTGTTTATACTTCTTTTTCCTTCCCCAGATGTCAGGTGGTGTGTGGTCCATGGGAAAAGTCTCCCTGCAGACACAGATGGTTGGGTTCGCCTCCAGTTTCATGCTGGACAGGCCTGGGTTCCAGAAAAGACGGGAGACAGAGTGAGTGCACTCTTCCTGCTTCCTTCCTGCAACTTCCCACCCCCGCATCTTGAGGACAATATGTTGTGTCCCACATGCGTTCAAAGGTAATTATACTTTTCTATAAACTAAAAGTGAGTACTTGATTTATAGTTGGAGAAAGGGAAATACTAGCCATGTATTTCAAATGTAAGTTTCAGTAATGAGTTTTAAGAAAATTATTACTTCAGTTAAGTTTATCACCAGGAAAAAGCATTTATGTGTCAGAGCTTAATGCTTCTACTTGGAGACATAGAATTCTAGAGCAACAAGGCCGGGCGCGGTGGCTCACGCCTGTAATCCTAGCACTCTGGGAGGCTGAGGCGGGTGGATTGCTCAAGGTCAGGAGTTCGAAACCAGCCTGAACAAGAACGAGACCCCGTCTCTACTATAAATAGAAAGAAATTAATTGGCCAACTAATATATATAGAAAAAATTGGCCGGGCATGGTGGCACATGCCTACAGTCTCAGGTACTCGGGAGGCTGAGGCAGCAGGATTGCTTGAGCCCAGGAGTTTGAGGTTGCTGTGAGCTAGGCTGACGCCACGGCACTCACTCTAGCCTGGGCAACAAAGCGAGACTCTGTTTCAAAAAAAAAAAAAAAATTCTAGAGCAACATACATTGTATAATTACTATATTCAAGGTATATGCACCACACAGAAACAATGACTAGTAAAAAAAAAACCTTTCTTTAAATAGCCAGTAGTATAATGGGGGTGATTGGTTTATAAACAGCTAGAATACCATATGATATCAAAGAAGAGGTTTCTTAAGAGAAGAATTGACTAGATAGAAAGGCGGAATAAGATTATTTTTCAGCATAAAAAACAGCATCAAGGCTATGAAAGAACATACAACAAAACAAGTTGTAGGTAGTTCAGTGTGACTATAATATGATGGAATATAGGGTAGAGGATAAGCTTCAGTTTGTCATTTATAAAATAGGGAGAATACTGATGTGAAGCTGTTATGGAAATTAAATGAGTTAATGTATACAAAGTTCTTAGCACTGTCTGGCCCATAGCAAGTATTCAAAAAAAAATTAGAATTATTCTAGCAAATAGAATTACTTTGAGCAAATCATGAGATGGGAGTATACAATGTATACAAACATTTTTGACTCAGATTGAGTATTATGGAAATGTCATTAGTTTGACAGCAAATTACAATAAGCTTTGAATATTAGAGGTTTAGAGATTACCCAGTAGCCAACGGTGTTCTTTTGAAAGATTTTATTAGTTATATGATGATGTGATCAGTGGAGTATCTTTGTAATCACTCAACAACCAATTTTGGAAGCACAATTATGAAGAGAATGGACAGGATGCTACAAAAGGCTTTTCTCTATAACCTCCAACCCAAACTGAAATCAACATATTAAAGAAAATTATTTGACATATGAGAAATGGACCTAGGGTTGGGGGTAGGGGACTGATCAATTTGCTCTTCTCCTCTATAAACTATACTAGTTAATGGATTGTGGTTTCTATTTGTAATCAAAGGTGGGAAATATTTTTATTAAAACATACCCTCAAAATTGTCAGATCTGGGAGAGGCTTGGGAAGAACACCGTTCTGAGGCAGATTGGACTAAGGATGAGCACTCCTGGGTCGCAGTTCCGTTTCAATAACTTTACACATGCCCCTTAACTTTTCTGGGCCTCAGTTTCCACATCTCTAAAATGAGTACCAAATTGGACCAGAAAGTGTACAAAGGTTAAATATAGCTTTAAAATTAAAAAGTTGCCAGGAATTTTATATGCCTGTATGGGGGGGGGGATTATTTTTAGAGAGAACTCATTGAGGAAACTTATGTGCCATCTACAGACAGATGTACATATGCAAAATTTTGAAACATTTTCCAGGATCAGGGAGAGGGACAAGTAGTTTGAGGTCAGGCAGCTCTTTATCACTGGGTAATGAGCCATTAAAGGACTTAAGCAATTGAATGCATTGAGGTGTGTACTGCAGAGAAAGGGGTGAAGGGGGAGCATGAAATCAATTAGAGGGTTAGCAGAGTGGCTTATGTCTGGAATCCCACACTTTGGGAGTCCCAAGTAGGAGGATCACTTAGAGGACAGGAGTTGGAGACCAGCCTGAACAACACAGCAAGACCCTGTGTCTACACAAATTTAAAAATTAGCCGGGCTTGGTAGCTTGTGCCTGTAGTCCTAACTACTCAGATGGCTGAGACAGGATCTTCTGAGCCCAGGATTCGAGGTTACAGTCAGCTGTGATCATACCAAGGTACTCCAGCGTGGGTGACAGAGCCTGTCTCTTTAAAATAAAAAAAAAAGTTAATCATGGCCGGGCGCGGTGGCTCACGCCTGTAATCCTAGCACTCTGGGAGGCCGAGGCGGGTGGATTGCTCAAGGTCAGGAGTTCGAAACCAGCCTGAGCGAGACCCCGTCTCTACCAAAAATAGAAAGAAATTAATTGACCAACTAAAAATATATATACAAAAAATTAGCCGGGCATGGTGGCACATGCCTGTAGTCCCAGCTACTCGGGAGGCTGAGGCAGTAGGATCGCTGAGCCCAGGAGATTGAGGTTGCTGTGAGCCAGGCTGACGCCACGGCACTCACTCTAGCCTGGGCAACAAAGTGA